AGAGGATCAGGGAGTTTTCTATGAGATTGTGTCTCCTAGTAATGTCAAATGCTACACTAATAAAGACTAATATGAATGACTAAACATGAGCTGAACAAAGATAACAACAACAGACATGCCGAAGGAGAAAAGATCATGAGGAATCAACGCTAGACAAACCACCACAGGCAACTACAGAATCTGAGAACAGGCGAAACTGTCTTCACTCAAGATGAGCTTTCCTAATACCAATGGTCAGTCCTGAAAACAAACATACACGTAACATCATATGAACTGAGCAGGCTGTATTTATGTATTTAGAAACACACACATACATACTGAGGTGGTTTGAATGAGAAGGGCCACCAGCCTCATATATAATTGGATAAGAAGCTTATATGGAATATGCTGTGACCCCAATTGTTGTACAACATAAAGTAGATGCTCAAGGCTGGCAGTGAATAATCAGGCTGTGTTGAAAGCCTGTGTAGGTTAGCTGTGCTAAGAAAGTAATTTGTTCTGGGGATGTATCACGCAGGGCAGCTGCTCAGGAACTTTCAGTGGTGGGAAAAGTGGTGCTTCTGTGGGTGGCCCTGAATAAATGTTTTGAACAGGTTAAGATGATTTGGTTCCCAGGACCAAATCACACTTTTAGAAACACCCTTTGGCTGCTGCTGACTTGAAAGAGCTTCAGACCCTTACAGAATACAACCTCGGTGAATATTCTCCTGTGGTGCTTCCATATTAAGTTGTGAAAATCAAGGCTGCTGCTGAATATTGGCTTGGAAATAAGAATCATTCAAATACATCTGTCTTTGTGGCACTGTAGAACCTGGAGTCATACATTCGTGATGTACCACTGGATAAGGCTTTGATACTGACTGTACTTTTTGCAATGACTGGTAGGTCCCCCAAAGCCTCCCAATGGAATAAGAAGGGAAACAAGCTTTGCCAGCAGTATTCTGTGTACTGCTCACATTTTGGGCAGAAGAATGATTTAACAAAGTTTGAAGATAATTAATTGGAAAGAAACAAGAAGTCTGGCAAATGGTGGCTTGACAAATGCGTTATTCCCAAACTCAAGTTGAAGACCAAATGTTTGATGCTGCAAAGTTATTCATGAAACAGGCAATATTTGAGAACTTAACTGTAGAATGGATTGGTTGTGAAACTCCAATAACTAACAAGTCTAAAGTCATGGGTTGGGCTGAAGTTTGACCACTGGCTCTAAGGACCAGCTGTAGTTCTTGGTGTTAGTGTAAGGAAATATGAATTCAAATTGTACATTCAGATAATCGGTCCATTTTAATGGGACTGTTCAAATCAGACTCAAGAAATAATGCTATAGCTGGGTGGTGGTGGTGCACGCCTTTAATCCCAGCACTCGTGAGGCAGAGGCAGGCGGATCTCTGGGAGTTCGAGACCAGCCTGGTCTACAGAGCTAGTTCTAGGACAGGAACCAAAGCTACAGAGAAACCTTGTCTCGAAAAAACAAAAAGAAAAAAAAGAAATAATTCTATATGCTAAATTTTCACCAAGTAATCTATAAACATTAGGTACAAGCATTAAGTACTAATTCTATAAAACTCCTTACACCATGAGTAAATGCTAGTTGAGTAAATGAAAGCGCTAGGAACAATCCTAGCAATATATTATTCATGACTTTTCATTTATTGCACTTATCACATAACAACTTGTCACATTCAAACCCTGGTAAAGACAGAATAACTGATTCTGATACTTTCACAAACTGGGCATGTGCTCCAAGACAAAATACAAAGGTTTTCAAAATAATAAATAAAATAAACATAAGTATTCTCTCAAAAATAAAGGATTAAGTTGACAGAAATAAATACAGGCTGGTTGTAATCATTCCTAGAGTTTGACCATTTGCTCATAAAAAGACCCAAATGGTTACTGTGGTGGTTTAAATGAGAATAGCTCCCACTGGATCATATATCTGAATGTTTGGTGCCTTGTTGGTAAACTGTTTAAGAAGGATTAGGAGGTGTGATCTTGTTGAGGAAGGTGTGACACTGGGGGTGGGTTCTGGGGTTTGATAAGCCAATACTGGGTCCAGTCTTGCTCTCTCTCTTTCTGCCTCCTGCCTGCAGACCATAATGTGAAATTCTCAGCTACTGCTACAGCACCATGACTGCCTGCAGCCACATGTTCCACAATGACAATAATGAAAAAACACCCTGAAACTATAATTAAGACCCAGTTAAATGCTTTCTCTTATAAGTTGCCTTGGTGATGATGTCTCTTTACAGCAATAGAACAGTGACTAAGACAGTTGCTTAGGTGTGTTTTATGTAGTAAATGATATAGATAAGCTACAGTAAATGATATAGATAAGCTACAAAAATAGTAAGCACACAATATGCATTTGTGTCTTAATAATTTTTCTAATACATATTTTATATATGTGTGTGTATCACTGTGTATTTATAACCATGGAGGCCAGAAGAGGACATTTAATCCCATGGAGATGGAGTTACAGGCAGTTGTGATCTACCTTACATGGGTGCTAGGAATGAAACTCAGGTCTCTTCTAGAAGAGCAAGGCCTGCTCTTCACACTAAGCCATCTGTCCAGTCCCTGTATAATTTATATGTGTATACACTAAAACGACAAATCTAGAGACTACAGTCTCAAACATAAACAGTGATCTCTTGCTGGAAGGATAGCAGGTTAACAGGTGACTTTTGCTTTCTTCTTTATAATTTTATGAATAGGGTCTTGCTATGTAGTTCAGACTGGCCTAGAGTTGCTATGCGGCCCAGGTTTGAGCTGAAGTTTTGATACTCCCTCCCTGGCCTCCCAAGTGCTGAGATTCCATATTCCACTTGAGTATCAATTGTAAATATGTGAATAAAACTTCCAAAAAATTTAATACATTTTAAACACATACCTATATTTATGCACTTAAAGTTAAGCATATGTTAAGCATACAGGATATGCTTAGAAATTAATTAAACCACAATGTGAGCTCAATTGCAGATATGCACTCTATCACTTAAAAATACTAACTATATCTACAGACCAAATTTATGCACAGCATATTTTTAAATGCTTCTGTCATTTTTCAAGTGTACAACTACTTTCTCCTACAAGATTATGAGTTCTCTGAAGGTAAGAATAACATCTTACCTTACTCTTTACCTTTTTAGAAAGTACGAGTCATTAAAAGTCTATTGATAGATCCAGACAGTGGTGGCGCACATCTTTAATCCCAGCACTTGGGAGTCATAGGCAGGTGGACCTCTGTGAGTTCAAAGCCAACCTAGTCTACATAATGAGTTCCAGGACAGCCATGGCTACATAGAGAAACCCTGTCTCGAAAAATAACAACAAAGTCTATTGATAAACTGGAATTACCTATGGGCCAATTTCTCAAAAGAAACCAATGTTCAACATGCTAACTAGAGAATACCCAAGGGGAGCCTAGGCAGTTTGGATGCTCACCTTACTAGACCTGGATGGAGGTGGGTGGTCCTTGGACTTCCCACCCACAGGGCAGGGAACCCTGATTTCTCTTTGGGCTGACGAGGGAGGGGGAGGGAAATGGGAGGCGGGGGTGGGGAGGAGGCAGAAATCTTTAATAAATAATTAATAATAATAATAAAAACAAAAAACAAAAAATAAAAACAAAAAAAAAGAGAATACCCATGGGCTTAGAGCATCTTACTCCTAGAGAGGGAAAGTACATGTATGGAGTGGAGAAGGGAGCAAAGAAAAATGGATGATGACAGAAAAAAGTCCAACTATATGCAGAGTTCATGACATGGGCAACCAGATTATTATGTGTATACATGAATTCATGCAAAGCTTGTTTACTTTTTGTCAGAAATGAGTAATACTGGCTTTGTATGTTTGAAACTCAAAATTTCTTCTAGAGAACAAAAATTTAACAACAAACCAAGAATATAGATGAATATGTTAAAAATTAGGAAACACAGTTAACGCTTTGATTAACTGAAATGGATATCTCTCCATCATCTAACCAATTGAGAAAATTTTAATAGAAAGAAAAGACTGGCTAACCAAAAAATTAAATAAATAAATAGATAGATAGATGATAGATAAATGAATAGATAGATAGATAGATAGACAGATAGATAGATAGATAGATAGATAGACAAGAGTTCCAAGGAAACCTCTGGTTTCACTAAGTTCTCTATTCTTTTCCAGTTATAGATCTAGTATTTCTAGATTTTTCTTGCACAATATTAAGTACATCCTCAAGAGAAATGTATTGGGTATGAGGACGTATGCATAAGTTTCAGTGGCCTTTACCTAATCTGTGGTTAACTGATGAAAAAGAATTCATACCTACCTGAAACTATAGACAATATGAAACATGTTTAAATTAATAAATAGCCTCTAATTTATGAGATATGGAGGCTGGAGAGTTGGCTCGGCAGTTAGAAATACTAAATGTTCTTAAAGAGGAATGGGTTCAACTCCTACGACTCACATAATAGCTCACACTGTCTTTACTTATTGTTTTTTTTTAATATTTTAACTATTTTTTTAAGATTTATTTATTTATTGTGTTCTGTCTGTCTGTATGCTTGCTGGCCAGAAGAGGGCATTAGATGGCTGTGAGCCACCATGTGGTTGCTGGGAATTGAACTCAGGACCTCTGGAAGAACAGTCAGTGCTCTTAACCTCTGAGCCATCTTTCCAGCCCTTGTCTTTACTTATTGTTTCAGATCTGACACCTTCTTCTGGCCTACAAGTACCAGGAAAACACATGATACACATATTTACATGTAAGGAGAACACAAATAAAGCTAAATTAAAATTTTACATCTTAAATTAAAAATATTTTTTAAAATGTGTCTCACTTGCTAGGTGGAAGTGGCATACACTTTTAATCCCATCACTCAGGAGGTTTAGGCAGGTAAATCTTTGAGGTTGAGGCCAGCCTGGTCTACAATATGAGTTCCAGGACAGACAGGGCTGTGCATTAAAATCCTGTCTCAAAAAACAAACAAACAAAAAATGCATCTTACCTTTATCTGTGAGACCTTCTGGATAGTTAATGGAGAAATTTGAGACTGTGAAACAACTGCATGTCCAACGGCATATATGGGCATAACAGAAGACTGACCTTGTACCACAGGCAAAACTGGGGACTCAGTCAGCTTTGGCTGCTCTTGCAACTGGTAAATAGAAGAAAATAGATAAACTCTCCAATATGTAAAATAGAGTAGTAATTCCCTCATCCCTGAAATTTGCTGGTAATGTCCTACTAGTTGGTGAGAAGAATAGATTTGCCCTTGAAAACTATGTCAGTCTGTAGGATACTAGACACTACCTGAGAGTTAGTTATCTGGTTTGAAGAATAGGCTACATTGGGAAGACTTGAAGTATCTGAATGTAGAACTGGTCCAGCTGCTGCCTCAGATGAAGTATCACCTATAACAAAAAAAATAAACAAAAGGTAGAAGGGAAGACATGACACACAATGTTCAAATGATATAATGTTCCTTTAATATATTTTCTACTATGACAATCATCGTTTCAAATAAAATACACAAACTTAATAATTAGTACTTTTTAAACAACTAATATCAGCATCTGAGAGATAAAAGTAAAAAGTTCATGAGGCCAGCCTTTGTTTCAAGTTAAGTTCAAAGACAATGTGGCCTACATAGCAAGGCCTATCACAAAATCAAACAAATAGTCAACAGGTAAAACTCTATGGGTTAAAAAATGTTGACACTGTGGTATAAGCGATAGTTTCTTTTTCTTAGATCATGTCCAAAACAAACAAACAAAGAAGATGACAAAGATTACAAGAAGAAAAATCAATTAACCCCATTTACCAGTCATTTTATATGTATTTTTTTTGTATACTTGCTGTTATGATTTCAGTAACATATGTGTCATGTTGCAAATCTCCTAGAAATGGATAGGAAAATGTGTAGGAAAAAAGTACTTCCTTTGTAGAAAAATTGGCTGTAACTATGCAAATACTGTTTTTCCTTTTCTATTTTTATTCATTTATATTTTATTTAATTAATTAATTGGTTGTTGCTGTTACTGTTTTAACATGTTCTCACTATATAGCTCTAGTTGGTCTGGGGCTTACTTTGTAGACCAGGCTGGCCTCTAACTCACTGATATTTGCCTACCTCTGCCTCCAGAGCACTGAGGTTAAAGGCCTAAGCCACCACATCCCCTACTGTGTGTGTTTTTAAAAAAGATGATATATTATTGCAAAAAAACTAGAGGACTTATGTTTTCATTCCAGTCTGAAATACTAAGGCACTTAACACCTAGAAAACTTCTTTTTAAGAAATAAACTGTAGCCGGGCGGTGGTGGCGCACGCCTTTAATCCCAGCACTCGGGAGGCAGAGGCAGGCAGATCTCTGTGAGTTCAAGAGCAGTCTGGTCTACAAGAGCTAGTTCCAGGAGAGGCTCCAAAACCACAGAGAAACCCTGTCTCGAAAAAACCAAAAAAAAAAAAAAGAAAAGAAAAGAAAAGAAAAGAAAAGAAAAGAAATAAACTGTAGAGCTGGGCAGTGGTGGTGCACACCTTTAATTCCAGCACTGAGGAGGCAGAAGCAGGCAGATCTCTGAGTTCAAGAACAGACTAGTCTACAGAGTGTGTTCAAGGGTAGGCTCCATAGTTACTGAGAAACCCTGTCTTGAAAAACAAAAACCAAAGAGAGAGAGAGAGAGAGAGAGAGAGAGAGAGAGAGAGAGAGAGAGAGAGAGAGAGAGAGAGAGAGAAATCATGGGCTTATGCTAGATTATTACAAATGTTGTTATTAATATCATTTCTCTGAGCTGGAAAAGCTGCTGTACTGTAATCTTTCTGTGACTAGAACATTGGAAAGACACTTAAAGACTTTCTTAGATTTATTTTGGGATGACTATTATGTATTCCAGTCTGGCCTTAAACTAGATGAGGATGACCTGCCTCTACTTTCCAAATGCTAGGATAACTGGTAAATACCACCATGCCCAGGGCTTCCTGCATGCTAGGCAGCTCTCCCAACTGAAACAAATTCCTAAACCAGCTTTCGTTGATTTTGAGATAAGGAAATCACCTTGTCTATTTCAAAGGTTTTAAAAGCATGATTAATAAAATTACAGATAACAGAATACTCTGAAAAATACAAAAAACAAAGAAGTATAACTAGTCAATTCCTGGACTTTACAGTTGTCTTACCTCTTACAGAAGAGCACTGCTGCTGTGGTTTTCCCTGTAGATTTTGCTGTCGAACATGCTGATCAACTTCTGTTTCTTCACATTCAGCCACACTCTGTGTAGCAGGAGCAGGTGGTAGAGTTATGGTCTGCTGCTGAGGAAATACATTCCCCACATACTTGCACTGGGAATCCCTGCATTCCTCCAAGCATCCAGCAGGCTTCTTTTCCCTTATCTTTTTTATCAGAGTCACGCGGTCCCTAATGGACTTAGCAACAGCTTTAGAATCACTTTCATGGAAGAATCCAGACTTGACCTACAAAAAAACATAACAAACTGTTTCTTTACTTAAATCAATATTTTGTATAACAAACTCAAAGTTCTATTAACTAATAATTAATAGCTTGTCTCTGTATTTTTCTAAATTGGACATATGTACATGTGAGAGACTTTAACTGATAGAAGAATAACACTTCAAATGGTACCCAACTTCATATGGAAAAGCAAAAAGCCCAGCATAACCAAAACAATCCTGTACAATAAAAGAACTTCTGGAGGCATCACAATCCCTGACTTCAAACTCTATTACAGAGCTACAGTACTGAAAACAGCCTGGCATTGGCTTAAGAACAGACAGGAGGACCAATGGAACTGAATAGAAGACCCGGATATCAATCCACACACCTTTGAACACCTGGTTTTTGACAAGGAAGCAAAAAATATCAAATGGAAAAAAGAAAGCATATTTAACAAGTGTTGCTGGCATAACTGGATATCAACATGTAGAATAATGATAACAGATCCATATCTATCAACATGCACAAAATTCAAGTCCAAATGGATCAAAGACCACAACATAAAGCCACTGAAACTTAAGAAGAGAAAGTGGGAAGTACACTTGGACACATTGGCACAGGAGATCACTTCCTAAATATAACCCCAGCAGCACAGACACTGAGAGAAACAATCAATAAATGGGACCTCCTGAAACTGAAAGGCTTCTGTAAAGCAAAGGACATGGTCCACAAGTTCTGCCCTATCAAAGGCCAAGGCAGTTTCTTTATTCAACCAATGAAAGCAACACATAGGACCTCCTACACCAGTTTGTCATAGCCAGAGCCTAGAAACAACCTAAGAATGGATAAGGAAAATGTGGTACATTTACACAATGGAGTACTACACAGAAGAAAAAAATAATGACATCTTGAATTTTGCAGAAAAATGAATGGAGCTAGAAAACATTATTTTGAGTGAGGTAACCAAGACACAGAAAGACAATTATCACATGTACTCACTCATAGGTGGGTTTTAAACATAAAGCAAAGAAAACCAGCCTACAAACCATAATCTCAGAGAACTTAGACAATAACAAGGACACTAAGAGAGACTCACATAGATCTAATCTACATGGGAAGTACAAAGTAGAAAAAGACAAAATCTCCTGAGTAAATTGGGAGCATGGGGACTTTGGGGGAGGATTGAAAGGGGAAGGGAAAGGGCAGGGAGGGCAGCAGAGAAAAATGTAGAGCTCAATAAAAATAAAAAAAAAATTATTATCACAAAAAAAGAATAACACTTCAGGGACTAAGGCAAAGGATCTTTGTAACTGGATCTCGTGATACCAGTTACAAAGCCTATCTCAAAATCCAGTAAAAGCATGCTGAGTATTGACAACAGAGAAAAATAGCTAACTAAAACAGTCTTATGCCTATATGAGCACATTACCTGATGATATAAGATAGAAATAAGCTTAGGACAATGGCACGGGGTTTTGATCCTACTTAATGTGCTGGCTTTGTGGGAGCCTAGCCAGTTTGGATGTTCACCTTCCTAGATATGGACGGAGGGGGGAGGACCTAGGACTTACCACAGGGCAGGGAACCCGGATTGCTCTGTGGACTGGAGAGGGAGGGGGAGAGGAGTGGGGGGAGGGGGAGAGGAGTGGGGGGAGGGGGAGAAGGGTGGGAGGAGGGGGAGAAGGGTGGGAGGAGGGGGAGGGAAATGGGAGGATGGGAGGAGGTGGAAACTTGTTTTTTGTTTATGTTTTTTTCTCCTTTTCTCAATAAAAAAAATTAAAAAAAAAGATAGAAATAAGCTTAACATAAAATGAAGCAGAAATGAACTGCTGGAATAAAAACTTAAAAATATCACTCTGGAGGAAACAGAAAAGTGCCATAATTTTGAACATTCCCAAAATAGGAATATAGTCTACTGAAAAAATACAGATGAAGTTTGGAGCAGAGATTAACATTCTAAACAGAGGAAGGTATGCTCACAGCTGAGAACTTGCTACATTTTACAAGGCATTAGAGTAGTATGAGAACAGAAAAGGGTTCTATTTTGTCTCTAAGCAGCAGAGAACATGATTTGAAATACCAAGGCATACCATGTTTAGTCCTACAATCTGATTGCTTACTTGCTTTTTTACTTTTATTTTTGAGACAGGGTCTCATGTAACACAGGTTGGCCCATATATAGTAGCACAGAGTAACCTTGAACTCCTTGATCTCTTGCTTCTACCCTCTAAGTGCTAGGATTATAAGCATATACCACCAAGACCAGCCTACAATTTACTATTTAAACCTTGTCTTAAAGTCTGCAGATTTGAAAATTCATGGTAGTTGAAAGATTATTACAATGTTAATAGAAATGGCAATCCCAGCATTTGGAAGAGGAGGCAGGAGGCTTGCCACAGGTTTGAGGGTCTACCTGGGCTATATTGTGATTACCAGGTCAAAGCTACATACATAGCACAATCCTGTCTAAAAACAAACTAAAACAATTACAAAAAAAAACCAGATGAAGTACACATATCCAATTTTGCCCACCCTAAAACTCTCAATAAACCCAACTCATAGTAAATGAATTTTAAAGTAACATATCAATAAAAACAAGGATAGACATGGTAACACACACCTAAAATTCTGGCTCTGGGAGGCAAAGGAAGGAAGATCTGGGCTTCAAGGTCATCAACAGCTACACAATGAATTCTAGGCCAGCTTGGGTTACATGAGACCCAGTCTCCACAAAAAAAAGGGCAAATGTGTGGATCCAAAAAATAAGAATACTTTAGAACCAACCCAAGAGGCCCAACATCTAAATAAGTTCTAGAAATAAGAAATAGCAAATCACCTGGTCCTCCTAAGGGCTAAAGATTTATTTTGTAGATGTATATGTGCACATGAAGGTCAGAGGTCAACAGAAGAATTCTTCCTCTATTGCTCTTTCCCTCATTTTGTGCAACAGGTTCTCTAAATGGACTCCAGCGATCCCACTGTCTTCATCCGTCCAGAGTTAGAGTTACAGAGCTATACCACACCACCTTACACAGTTTGTGCAACAAGTACTTTATCAACTGAACTATTTCCTCAGCCTCCAATTTTATTTTAACAAAGACAGCATTGTACAGTTCTTTATAGTGAACATCAAACATGTCCTGTTAGTAAAATTACTTCACAATGACATGACGATATAAATAAGGAAAACAGGAGTCTAGGAGATGCCTTGGTCAATAAAGTATTTGACATGCAAGCATGGACACCAGAGTTTGGAATCCCAGCACCTGTGCAAAGCATAAAAGCACACACCTGAGCAGGGTGGTGGTGGCACACACCTTTTGTGGGATATATGTACACTGTGTGAAGGTGTATTGCTATGACTGGTGTAACAAAAAGCTGAACGGCCACAGTTAGTTAGGGGGTATAGGTGGGACAACTACAGAGAGAGGACTCTGGGAAGAAGAAAAGTAGGGTCACCAGCCAGACACAGAGACGAGACTGAAGGTGCAAGATGGAAGAGAGGTAAAATGCCACGTGGCAGAACATAGATTTAAAAATATGGGTTAATATAAGCTATGAGCTAGTTGAGACAAGTCTAAGCTAAAGGCCAAACCTTCATAATTAATCATAAATCTCTAGGTCATTATTTGCAGCCTGGAAGTCCCAACAAAAAAGTATTGCTGCACACACCTTTAATCCCAGAGGTAGAGGCAGGCAGATCTCTGTGATTTGAAGGCCAGCCTGGTCTACAGAGTGACTTCTAGAATGGCCAGGGCAAAATGGTGAAAACATATCTTGAATAACCAAAAAATAACAACAAAAGGACACACCTATAATCCCTGCACTGGGAAGGTAAAAATGAATGTCTCTGCAGGCAGACCTATACAAACATATTGCAAGAGAAAAAGTACACAGAAGAAAGAAAATAAAACAAGGAGAAGTAGAAAACAAGCATTAATCAATCAGGATACTGTTATGTGTAGGGAAAGCATCACTAAGATTGACTTACCATTTCATATGCTACTTCTTCGGGTGTATCTGTTTCTAAATTGAAACTGAATTCAATAGCTTCATTGTCTTTATGTTTGCCTTTTAATTTTTTAGGATCTTCAACCCAGAGTCTTAGGGCCAGGGATGAATTTGAACAATCATCTTCCTCTGCTAACTCCACCCTCAGTCCAGTATCCTCAGCAAAGAATGCATGATTTAGTAGGTCCTTGATAGATAACCTAATAAACAAAATATACATATGATTATCAATTCTTTCAGTCATAAGCAAAATATGGTCCTTTAAATAGTAAAGTTAATTGCATCCAGTGAGACTCTTACTTTATTTACATTTTCTATTAAACCATTTATTATTTGTTTTGCTATAAAAACTACATCTTATAACCAATTTATTACTAGGGACACCAGAAATGTCAACTTGCATGCACATAGAATAATCTTATTTAAGAATTAATAACCAATAATATCTTAATTGATATCAAAGTCTAACTCACATAAAAGTATGCCCAAGAGAGAATTGTTACATAGATTTATTAGCTTGCCTAAAGCCACTGGACTGAGCCACTCAGACTAAAGCAACAGATTTTCAACAAAGGAAAGAACATTCCCCAAATATATTAACTATAAGGTGAATTGGACATTCAAATTCTTACAAATAAGACTACTTCAATAATAATTATCTACTCAGAAGTTGTATGTAATGGCCCACCTCCTATACCACAGCATTTGCCAGCCTGTGTTATATAGTGAGTTCCAGGGCAGCTTGGGATACAGAATGAGACTCTGTTTCAAAAAACTTTTTTTTAAAAACAAAGGACAATTTTTTAATTAATATGTACTTCATTTTTTAGAAGAACGTCATAGGTGAAGCCAATGTGGTTCAATTTGTTTTTAATTTGAGACAGTGTCTTGCTGAGTGGCTTTGTCTGACTTGGAATTTGCTATTTATATCAGGCTGGCCTTGAACACGCACAGAAATCAGCCTGCCTCGGCATCTCAAGTGCTAGGATTAAACGGGTGTGCCATGTCCTTTTTTCCCCTTTCCATACATACATACATACATACATACATACATACATACATACATACACCATATGTATACACACATACATATATAATCCCAGCACTCAGGAGGCAGAGGCAGGCGGATCTCTGTGAGTTCGAGGCCAGCCTGGTCTACAAGAGCTAGTTCCAGGACAGACTCCAAAGCTACAGAGAAACCCGGTCTCGATAAACAAAAAACAAAACAAAACAAAAAAAAATCATTACAAAAAAAAGGGGAGGAAAGATTTTAAGAGCCAGAAGAACAGAAAATGTGTCTCCTAGAAATGAGAGAAAAGCTACACCCATGAAGTCTCTCAGTAACATGGCTGGTTAAATATAACCTGAAAAAGGATAGCACCATTTGACATATTAACGTGGAAGGGGAAAAGTTCATAAGGCTTCAACTCTAGACAAAGAACTATAAGCAACTAAGAAATGCTGAGTAAAAGAAATAGTCAGACCCAGGGCCCATCACCCCAATTGGTTATTCAATGGTCGGTCCTAAAAACATGAACATACAAGTAACAACATTATACAGACTAAGCAGGTTGTAGTGACGTATTCAGAACTCTTGTGAGGCCAGCTTGGTCTACAAAGTGAGTTCCAGGATAGGCTCCAAAGCTACACAGGGAAACCCTGTCTCAAAAAACCGGAAAAAGAAAAGAAGAGAAGAGAAAAAGAGAAATGGTTTAGCAGTAATGGACATTTGCTGCTCTTCTAGAGGACCCAGGTTTCCAGTACCCACATTGAGTAGCTCACAATTGCTTTTTTTTTTTTTTTTGCTTTTTCAAGACAGGGTTTCTCTGTGGTTTTGGAGCCTGTCCTGGAACTAGCTCTTGTAGACCAGACGGGTCTCAAACTCACAGAGATCCACCTGCCTCTGCCACCCGAGTGCTGGGATTAAAGGTGTGCGCCACCACCGCCCAGCTAGTAGCTCACAATTGCATATGACTCCAGACGCAGGGAATCTGACACCTTTCTGGCCTTTGTACACACTTGCATGCACACGGTGCATATGTATGTACACCCAGACACAAAACACATAAAATAATTTTTTAAAATTTTCAAAAGAAGCTAGCAATTTAAGCCAGTAATTATACAAAGCTCAAAATAAAAGGAAGTGAAAACCAATACTAAAGCAATTCTCTATACGAAAATACAAATTTTGATATAAATAAATATAGAATACTTCTTGAACAAAAACATCCATTACTTTTACTATTATTATTGGCACAATGCTATAAAACCAAATGTAATCTATCTGCTTACTCTCAACTACTTAAACAAGCAATTTGTTACGTGTTTTACATCATCTCACTATTAAGGTATCATAACAAATACAAATGTCAGTTCAAATTCAGCACATAATAGCAACATCTAACGTGTCAAATGGCATGCTATGATATACATACATTACAGTATCCATGATAAAAATGCATCCATCATTTATGTAATTTTGTTATAATTCCACCCACCTTTCAGATTTGTTTTGTCGAATACATCCTTCAATTATTTCTTTTACTTCAGGGTCTGTGACTTTATTGAAGCTGGCTGGTTTTATGCCCTGGGAGAAGAAAATGGTTTCTTGTTACAAATTAAACAATTAAAAGCACAAATCAATATGGCAAATATTAAACTTTATTTTCTCATAAAAATCCAATTATTCAATGAGATTATTACACACATATATTTAATTTCAAAAGTTTTACACAGAATTTCACTACATAGCACTGACTATTTTAGAACTCTCTGTCAGTTTCTCAACCTGTGTGTCATGACCCCTGGAGGCTTTGAATACCCTTTCCCAGGGGTTGCATATTAGATATTTACACTACAATTCATAACAGTAGCAAAATTACAGTTATGAAGTAGCAACAAAATGATTGAGAGTCACCACAACATGAGGAACTGTATTAACGGCTTGAAGCATTAAAAAGGTTGAGAACCACTGTTCTATGTAGACCAGGCTGGCTACAAACTCAGAAATTTGCCTGCCTCTGCCTCCCAAGTGCTGAGAATATAGGCTTGTGCCACCATACCCAGACAAATTTAACTTTTTAAAATTACATTTTATTCACTGGTGAGGGAGGCAGGATCTAGTATGCGTGTGAAAGTCAGAGAATAACTTGCAGGAGTAGACAATCGCCTTCCACCATGTATTTTCCAGGAATTGAACTCAGGTTATCAGGCTTAATAGAAAGTGCCTTTTACCAGCTGCATCATCTCACCAGCCCAGTTTAACTTTTTAAAAAGGCTTTTATCACAGCTCCATAAAAAACTGAAAATTGTGAATAATCTACACTAATAACTGAGGTAAACTTAATATTACATATGCAAACATATAGAGACTATAAATACTACTATACTTAATAGTATTGGGAATGCTCACAATTTAATATGAAATAATAGGGGGAAAAGCGGAATGCCCCCCAATATACATACATACATACATACATACACACACACACACACACACACACACATATATATATATATATATATATATATATATATATATATATATAATAATCCTAATTAGGAAAACATAATAGGGACTAGAGAGATGGCTCAGTGGTTAAGAGCAATTCCTGCTCTTTTAGAGGACCCAAGTTCCAATCCCAGAACCCATACTGAAGGGATAACTCCAGCTCCAGGGAATCTGATATCAACTTCTGGCCTCCCAAGAAGGGTATTCATAAACATATATGCAAGTACACATTCACAAACACATACATAATTTAAAAAAATAAAATTTAATAATGGACTTGCAAGATGCCTCAGCAGGTTAGAAGTGCTTTCCACCACACCTGATGATCTGAATTCAACCTCTGGAAACCACAGAAAGGTAGAAGGAAGAGAATATGTTGCTCCCCACAGTCACCATGTGGCACATATGCACGCACACACACGCACCAAATAAAATGTAAGTGGGAGGGAAGCAGTGAAAAGGCTTGATCTGAGTTCCAGCCTCCATCCCACAGCATGTCAGGAGAGAACTGACTCCCAAGAGTTGTCTTTTAGCCTCCATACTTAAGAATATGACTGTGAGAACTTGTACGTGCATGCATGCACGCGCGCACGCACGCGCACACACACACAAATAAATGAAATACATTTTAGAAATTCAAATGGAAAAAAGATTTTAAAAAAGCAAATATAGTAACTATTTTTGATTCAGAGAAAAAGTAGCGGTTTGTCTGCTTGTTTCCTTTGAGGCAGGATTTCTTCTATATGCCAAGTTTCAAGATCCTGTTCCAAATTGCCAAATACCTGGGACCACAGACATGTACTACCAGGCCAGGCAAAATAAATATTTTTTTTGTTTTTTTATTATTATTTATTTATTTATTATGTATACAATATTCTGTCTGTATGCCTGAAGGCCAGAAGAGGGCGCCAGACCTCTTTACAGATGGTTGTAAGCCACCATGTGGTTGCTGGGAATTGAACTCAGGACCGTTGGAAGAGCAGGCAATGCTCCCAACCACTGAGCCATCTCTCCAGCCCTAAATATGGTTTTATAAACCTTTGAAGCACAGCATAATGGCCTATATCTGCAATTACAGTACTAGAGAGGTGAGGGCAGAAGTTCAAGGTCACCTTTAGCTACTTACTGAGACTCAATCACAGACAACATAACTTAAAAATAAAGGCTTCTCTATTTCTAGTATTCTGAATTTAATATAGTTCAAAGTCTTCTAAAATGGATAGAAGCCATAAACAAACAGTATGTTTGTGTGTACACAGATACAAATGTATAAGATAAGGTCTGGAAATATAAATGAGAAAAGTCAAAATAACTATTCTAAAGAGAAAAAGCAAGAAGGAACTTCAGAAATTCAAAAAGGTGATAATAAAATACTTGAAAGGTAGAGAGGGAAAGTTGGGAAACACACAGAAAAGAAGCCAAATTCATCACAATTCCAGGAGTGCTGCTCTTTGGAAGGGAGAAGAAGCTGAGAACGCCTCCAAAAGGTAAGTCGGGAGGCCCTGGAGAAAAGACACTGGCAGTCCTACTCTTAGAATAAGTGCATAGTACTGCCAAGTCTCAAAACCAGTTGAAGGAAGACAGTGGATGGGAAAATAGTAAAGACTCCCATTCCTGTCACTGTCTTGGAGAGCAAGGGTTGGCATTATCTTGCAGTGGAAAATAGTTACTAGAAACTGGACTGAACTGAACTGAGGACTCCAAAATGAAGAAAACCTGAAGACAAAAAGCCTCAATTTAACTTACCACAGCCACAGGGCAAGAGACAGTCCTGGAAAACTGGAAGGTCATGATCAACAAGCCAAAGAACCAATAAGCCACTTCTGTAGATGGCAGAAGGCTTGGCTAAGAGAAATGCAAAAGGGGAAAATAACCCTGCTCTCAGTTGATGTGTCAGACCTCATCAACTGAGAGTAACACTAGAGTCTGATAGCCCTTAGGTCAGAAGGCGATCAACTTCTGCATCCATCTATCTGATATTCTCTTCTATAGAGCTAAACATGTCGGAGTCTCCAGTGGAGTACTTGAAATACATTACCTCATCCATCCAAAAGGATGGTTACTATTTAAAAAAATTTGGAAAGTATGAAGACCTGTCTTCCAGCTCTCCAGATCTTGACAGCTAGACATTAGAAACAGAATAAATAAAATATATGAACTGCAAAAGGTAAATACTATCCAAAAAACCCTTTAAATCAATAGATTGACTAATGATCTGCATAGAGAATTCCCAAAAATGAAAAGACAGTGGCTGAAGAGATGGCTCTGTTGTTAAGAGCACTTGCTGCTCTATAGAGGGCATGGGTTCAATTCCCATCATCCACATGTGGCTTACAGTCATCTGTAACACCAGTTCCAGGGGAACTGATGCTCTCATCTCACCTCTGCAGATACCTGGTATGTATATAGTACACATACAGTACAGACAGGCAAAACATTCAGACATATAAAATAAGTCTCAAAAAATTAAACTGGCCAATGAATATTTGAAATAAAAATGTTCAGCATTTTCAATGCTCAGGGAAATACAAATTAAAACTGCTTCAAGATTCCATCTTACCTTAGCCAGAATGGCTATCAAGAAAACATGAAAGGGGTTTGAGAGATGAGTCAGAAGTTAAGAGTTTATACTACACACACACACACACACACACACACACACACACACACACACACACACGACAGGGTTTCTCTGTGTAGTCCTGGCTGTCCTAGAATTCATTCTGTAGACCAGGCTGTCCTCATTTAGAGATTCACCTGCCTCTGCCTCCCCAGTACTGGGATTAAAGGTGTGTGCCACCACCACCTGGCTTAGAGTGTATATTCTTGCAGGAGTCAAGTTCAGTTCCCAGCACTGACATTAGGTATGGCTCATAATTACCTATAACTCTAGATCCATAGGACACAATTCCTTCTTCTGACCTTCACAAGAACCTGCACTTATGTGCCTATAACCACACACAGACATACATGAATAATAAAAAAATAATAAAAGTAAGGAGTTGGAGAAATAGATCAGCAGATAAGAGCATTTGCTGCTATTTCAGAAGACTCAAGTTTGGTTCCCAGCACCAAGACTCTACACCAACATATCACAGATGGAACTGTACATCTGTGTTTACTGCCACACTATTCACAATAACCACAGTACCCAAATGTCAGTCTATATGTCTACCAACAGATGAATGGAAAAAAGAAAATGTGGTACATATACATAATGGAATTTCATGCAGTCCTAAAATAAAATGATCATGACATTTTCAAGAGAACAGCTATAATTGGAAACCACCATGTTAAAATAAAACAGACGTGGTAAGACAAATACTACATGCTCATATGTGGAACCTAGACTTACAATTACATATGTGTACATATGTATTTGCATGTTTGTGTTTATAGGTAACAAAATTAGAAAGAGGATAAGAGAAGAGTAAGATGTCTTAAGAGAAATGAAGAAAGTAACAAACATGTGCAATAGGAAGCTGTGGTGCATGCCTCTAATCTCAGCACTCAGGAGACAGAGGCAGGGAGATTTCTGTGAGTTCAAGGCCAGCTTGAACTCCAGGATAGCCAGGGCTACACGGTAAGATGAGACCCTGTCTCAAAATAAACACATATAATAAGAAAACAGAAAAGGAGGAACAAAGGAAACAGACTTAAGGGGGCAGACAGACATGTGAGAGGGCAGAGATAAGGGGGAAAATGAGAATAAATTTACTGGTACATATGTATAAAGAAAAAGCTACAGTGACACCCATCATATTATAACCTAAAAATATGAAACAATACCAACAAGAGAAAATTGGGGTTATCAACATTTCATCAGGAACAGAGAAAGGGTTCTGTGAGAAATGATAGGCAGTTAATGGCTGCTGTATAATGCATATGCAGGAATCATATTCCTCAGTGGTGTAGTCACTGGAAAGTTGCTCTTGCTCAAGTGAGTAACACCCCACTCATGCTCAGGCAAGGAACCCAAATTAAGTGCAGTAAGTACAGAATAAAAAGACAGGAAAGTGGGAGGGGATGCAGGAAGGGGTTTAGTCTGAGGTATAAGGACATAAGAGAGAATAATGGGATGAATAAGATCAAAGTACATTAATATATGTATAAAACTGTCAAAGAATATGTGTATGAAATTGTAAATGAACAAATAAAACTTATATAAAAGAATACAAATGGCTAATAAATACATGAGCTAGAAAGTAAAAGGGGGAAAATGTGGGGAGGCAGAAAGTTACAGTGGGGGGAAAGTTGGAAATGGGGGAAGACTGGGAGAGAAATCAACCAAAATGAAGCATGCATGAAAATGCCATTAACAAACTTATCCCTTTGTAAGCTAATTTAAAAATATAACAAATAAAAACAAAGAATAAACAATATTTTCTAAACATTAACCATAGATTAAAGCATCTCTCGACCCTAATCAGAGAAGCCTGTTTGCGGTAGACAATAAACAAAATGACCTACAACTGGCTCAGGTGCAAAGAATAAGATTATGAAATATTTAGCCCTAAATGGGGCCTCTATATCACAATTCCTTCTCCTGGGGCTCAAGGATCACTGAGAAAGAGGAGATTGAAAGAGGCAGAGGCAGTGGATAACTACAAGGAAACAGTGTCTTCTAGACACAGCAGGGCAGCTGCACATATAAATTCACAGTAGTTGTAACAGTATGCACAAGCCTAAGCCAGACCAGATCTCAGCATGGAGAGGGGAGTTGAGCAGAAAGTTTCACCCCTAAATGAAGGGCTACTGGGAATTCTTAGCAGCTCATAGAGAATGGATCAGTTTTCTCTAAAAGTAAAGCCTCGGATAAGTTGGCCATGTTCCAGTAGAAGCATTCAAGAATATCTGAACAGCTGGGCAGTGGTGGCGCATGCCTTTAATCCCAGTACTTGGGAGGCAGAGGCAGGTGGATCTCTGTGAGTTTGAGGCCAGCCTGGTCTACATGAGCTAGTTCAGGACAGGCTCCAAAGCTAAAAAGAAACCCTGTCTCAAAAAACCAAAAAAAAAAAAAAAAAAAAAAAAAAGAATAAAAAAATCTGAAAAGCACAAATAGGCCTTGTCAGGGAGAGAGACACATGAATGAATGGACACTAAGTTAAATGGGAAAGTAAAGTAAAAAAGACTGGATCTGAGAAGACCTGGAGTAGAGAGGGTGAATACAATCAAAATAACTGCATGATATTCTCAAAGAACTTTTAAAATTAAGCAAAAAAAAAAAAAAAAGAAAAAGAAATGAAAACTAAGGCTGGCAAGTATGTGGAAAAGTAGAAACCTTATCAGTTGCTGGTAGGAATGTAATGTATTGCAACCATTATGGAAATCAGTATGGAGGCTCCTCAAAAAATTGAAAATAAAACTGTCATATAACAGAGCTATAACACTCCAGAGTATATATCCAAAGGACTCTTTAGTCAACATACCACAGAGACACTCATACAACTGTGTTTATTAATATACAATCCACAACAGTTAAGAAATTAACCAGTCTAGATGTCTATTCACAAATAAATATATAGTAAAAGTGTGGTACATATATACAACAGAATTTTATTCAACTATAAAGAATAATGAAATCACAGCACTCGCAGGAAAATGGATGAAACTGGAAATCATGTTAAATAAAATAAGCCAGAATACATGTTCTCTACCATATGTGGAATAATGTCTGTGTGTGTGTGTGCATGTGTATGTGTTGTGTGTGCCTGTGTGTGAGAATGGGGAGAAACAGTCATGAAAAGGGAGGGAGAGACTGGGGGATAATGAAATACATATGATACAAAAGCAGAGTGAGGATTATTAGTGGGAATAGAATGCAAGATGCAGACAGGGAAAATATGAGAGATTAGTGAGAGGATGAATAAGAACAAATTAAAATAATACATACATATAAAAATGTGAAAAAGTAACTATTACTTTATATGTACACTTTTAAAATAAAAATACAAATATGAGGTCCAGACAATTTATAATTTTCCTGTAAGCATGTCATCTACCTTAATCTGCTCATTTTATACCTTTTGTTTATAAGTTTTAGGCTTTCAGAAAACTATCCAAGCCAGGTGGTGGTGGCGCACGCCTTTAATCCCAGCACTTGGGAGGCAGAGACAGGCGGATCTCTGTGAGTTCGAGACCAGCCTGGTCTACAAGAGCTAGTTCCAGGACAGGAACAAAACAAAAAAAGAAAACTATCCAATTATCATTGTAGTCATTAAATAGAAAATTGCAAATTAATCTGGAAAAATAATTGCCATAAATTGAGACAACCTAAGATCTACTTCTAAACCTATCATACTACCTTAAAAAATAGACTCATATACTAGATAAATCTAGCAAGATTGGGAATTAATTTGGATCCAAAATTCAAGAAGCTTTGAGAGAGGTACAAATGTAAATTGTGATATGGTATTTTTGTATGTTAATATAAAAATAATAGTTATTCAAAATTGCAGTTATGCTAAGGGTATGGATCAGTGGTAGAGCACTTGTGTAGTTTTCATTAGGCCCTAAATTTCATCCCCAGAATCACAAAAAAGACTGTATTATGCACAGAACTTGGGAGGCTAAGGTAGAAATTCATGAGTTCAAGGTCAGCCTCAGTGACACAGTGAAACCCTGATAATGTTATTCTATACATAGAAAACGTCCTGTATAATCTCTCCTCTAACCTCTTCCTGATTTTCTTGGCAATTCATGCCTTTCTCTATATGTAAGTGAAGACAGTTATAGAATTATAATTTATAAATCAAGCACAAAATACTTTTGTACTTGGGGTTCTTTAGATAAAGGACATACACTAATAAGGCATTGCAGTTCTTTTTCTGAGCTCTTATCAGAGGCTGGGAAGAAATTAGGAATTGTTGCTTAATGGGTAAAAGTTGCAATTAAACAGCAGGAAAAAGCTTTGAAATACAGTCCACAGCACAATGACTATAGTCAATAAAACACAGCATATTATAAAGTAACTTAAAAAGTAAGTTTTAAATGTTTCACCACAAAAAATAATAAGGAAATGAAGTTAGAGGTAAACTACCTTGATTTTACATTGTATATATCATATTGTATCCCATAAATGTATACAATGTCATCTGTCTATTTAAAATAACTTAATTTTAAAAGATTAAAAGATGACTCTTATTATTTACTTCCTGAAACATTAACAATCTCTTTCATGATCTATCTCAAGTCACCCAGCTATATGCGAAGTAGTCTACCCTAAACAATGAAAACACTCCAATTCTACTTTGCATCCCTTACTATACACCTATCCTTTTATTTTATACTGATTTTTTTCTTATTTTCTAAATAGGGTTTCATTTTGTAGCCCAGGTTGGCCTCAAACTTAGACTCCCAAGTGCTGGGATTACAGGTATGCACCACCATGTCTTGCTAGCTATTTCTTTATTGATATTATTCTCCTCCTAGAAATGTAAGCTTTCCTAGGGCAGCAAACACTTATTGTCATTGCAGTTCTTGCAATTTCTAACATTAAAACATTACTTATATAAGAGATTCACTTGTCAAACTACATGCTGAATTCTATTTCCTAACTGGGCACTTAAAGTATTAAAGTCCTTCAAACTCTTTTAGTTTTATTATCCAGCTTTAAAAATTAAGACCAATCAAACCGGGTGTAGGGGAGCATGCCTTTAATCCCAGCTCGTCATAGGCAGAGGCAGAGCATCTCTTTGACATTGCAGCCAGCCTGATCTATGTAGTGAGTTCCAGGACAGTCAGAGGCACATAGTGAGATGCTGTCTCAGGAAAAAAAACCCAAAAAACAAAAAAACAACCAAGACCAAAACTAATATCTAAAATTGTACCATACCTGTACATTTTCTCCAAAACAATACAGAACATTTTATATGACCCTAATAGAGTTCAAGTACATAAATAGAAACCTTTATAAACCTTTTCTAAGTGAATGGTTAAACTAACATTGTTATATAAAAATAAACCATAATGGAGAAGGGACTTTTTCTTTTTTCTTCCACTAAGTCACACCCTTTGTCCTATAATTAAATTCTACTAAGTCAATTTTATCAATTTTAACACAAAATGTGGCAATCTGTGAAGTAAAATGAATAAAAGTATACCTACACTGGTTACTTTACGGTATATTTGAGCTGCATTCTGGCACTCGGAATATGGATACTCCGAAGTAGCCATTTCCAACATACACATCCCAAAAGCATAAACATCTACAGATTCATCATAGTGTTCTTCATACATCTCTGGAGCCATAAACTCAGGAGTGCCTACAAAATAACACCATAACCATATTTTTATTAAAGAGATATATTAATCAAGATATTCTTTCCCATAAAAAGTATCTATTACTTTCTGCTCTTTCAAAGTAAATCTATCAGTTAGGCTGGGTGTGGTGGTGCACACCTTTAGTCCTGGCATTTGGGAAACAGAGGTAGATGGATTTCTTTGAGTTTGAGGCCAAGCCTGGTCTACAGAATGTTCCAGGACAGCCAAGGCTATATAGAGAGACTCTATCTCAAAAAAAAAAAAAAATAACAAATTTAACATTTTTACTGATGAAGTACAATTTAAAGTACAATTCAAGGTTAAGATGTTAAAAAAATCTAACTTTAGACAGGCATGGTGGCTCACACTTGTAATCCTAGTACTTGTATAGTAACAAGCAAGAAGGTTAAAGAATTTTAAGGTTATTCTCAGCTACATAGTATTTTCAAGGCCATCTTGGTCTACAATAAAATCCGGTCCTAAGAAAAGAAAAGGCTAGGCACTATGATGCAAGCCTTTGATGCCTGCACTCAGTAGTCAGTGGCAGGAGGATCTCTGAATTTGCGGCCAGACTACTATGCATAGCAAGTTCCAGGTCAGCCAGAATTACTATATAATAAAGAGATCCTGTCTCCAAATAAAAAGATAACTAGATATAGATTAAATCTGATTTTATTTTGCATTTCTGTCTTTTTAATTCAAATTTGCATAAATTAATTTAGTAAATTTTTTTCTTTAAGTCTTCAAAATCTTTCAATAATCCTTAATAGATGAGGCTGGAGAGATAGTTCAGCTGTTAAGAGCACTTGTTGGGGTTCAGTTCCTAGAATCCACATGGTGGCTAAGGCTAACAACTGTCTGAAACTCCAACTCTGAGGGCTCCAGCACCATCTTCAGACCTCTGTGGGCACTGTATATGCAGACATACATGTAGGTAAAACACCCATACATGTAAAATAAAGATAAATTAAAAAATTAGTTCTTAATATATTCTATAAAATATACACACTAGGTATTGGAAATAAGTCAGTTTTCATATAACTGGTATTTCAAATCATATTCACAAATATTTCAAAGCAAATTAACGGTTGAATGTGCTGTCTGGGTCCTAAAATCCGAAGACTGGAGTGTTCAAGGTCATATATTACATAGCAAATTTGAGGCCTGCCCAGGTTACAGAAGATCCTGTCTTAATTTTAAAAAAATAGTGTGTGTGTAACAAAAACAAAACCTTAAAAAACAGGCAGTGCTCAAAATTTTGCCCAAAACTGTAGCTAACTCATCAGCTTTATTCCAGTCCTATACAACTGACAAATCTAACACCCAGCAGGAAACTGTAAAATATTAGTCACCAATGACACTCTTAGCAAATGATGTGCGCATTAAGGTTGCAAGTCCCAGATCACCAATCTTCACAGATCCAGTGGGTCCTGTGATAAAAATGTTGTCACACTTCAGATCCCGGTGAATAATAGGAGGGGTCCTTGTGTGCAAGAACTGCAATCCTTTTAAAATTTGTCTGCACCAACTTCTTAAGACCTTTGGCTTCATGACTTTAAATCGTTTTAAGTACCTATTCAAAGAAACAAAGATCATGTGTAAACAAACATTCCCAGATTAGTCTATAAGTACCACTATAAGTATGCTGCTCTGCTTATTTACTTACTATGAATACTACCACTGAATAATTTTTAAGGTTGATTTTTTTTGTTTTTACTTATGTATTTGTTAATGTGCACACAAGCGTACATGCCTGTGGGGGTCAGAATAGAGCAATGGCCCACCTAGGGCCTAAAGTTAGACAATTTTGAGTTGTCCAATGTGGAGACCAGGACCTGATCTCTGACCTCTGGAAGAGCAGCAGGTACTCTTAACCAATAAGCCATCTCTCCAGCCCCCTGAATTATCTTCTATTGTTTGCTGTAGCAAAAAAAAAAAAAAAAAACCCAAAAAACAACAACAAAAAAAACCCCACAACCCTACTTAAACCCTCGTTCTCATCTTTCAGTGACCTGACCTACAGTTACTTTACGGGACACTTAAGTTTACCATCCCACCTCACCTCACATTACATTAAAAAAAAATGGTATGACTTATGCCAAAAGATACTCTACAAAGTCTAGTACTTTTAATTCAAAATAAGAACCATACTAGAATGAGGTTGTGGGATGAAAACACCACTGTAAAAAGAAAGCCCTTCTCTATGTGTAAATAATTACTTATATATTCACTGGAGGGCATGGCTACATAAAATTTTACTGTAAAATGTTAGGAAAAATGGCTGGGTGGTGGTGGCAGACGCCTTTAATCCCAGCACTTGGATCTCTGTGAGTTCGAGACCAGCCTGGTCTACAGGAGCTAGTTCCAGGACAGGCTCCAAAGCCACAGAGAAACCCTGTCTCAAAAAAGCAAAAAAAAAAAAAAATCAAATTGTAACTTTAAATAATAAAGTTGAAAATATACAACTGATTATACAATCAATTCATACCAAATAAAAAGTTGGTTACAAACAAAAAAACAGTAGTTATTCCTTGCAAGATGTATAAATTGGGCCAAACCCTTAGCAAGTCATTATCTTTTAAAATGCAATCATAATTTATAATAATTTTTAACTCAAATTTTATGATATATCTAAAACATTAACTTTTGTGGGGTTTTTAAGATTTATTTATTTTACGTGTATGAGGGCTTGCCTGCATGCATGTATGTTTTCTAAGTGCGTACTAGGCACTCACTGATGTCAGAAGAGGTCACTAGATTCCCTGGTTATAAGCCATCACAATGATGCTAGGAGGCTCTGCAAGAGTAACAAGAGCTCTTAACTTATGAGACATCTCTCTACCCCACTTTTTGGGTTTTTAAGGCATGGTCTCATGTAGCTCAAGCTGATCATGAATTCATCATGTAGCCAGGAATAACCATCAACTCCTGATCCTCCTATCTCTATCACACTACACAGTGCTAAGATTAAAGGTGGTGCCACTGTTCCTAGTTGTATGTGTGCAGGGGATTGAATCCATGGTTTAATGCATACTAGGCAAGCACTTAATCAATTGAACTTCATCTCCAGGTCCCCAAACATTAACTTTTCAGCACTGCATAGTCTAACAAACTTCATTAATATCTTGATTTTTCAATCAATCTGAAATAGATTCTACAAGTTCTTTTTTATTGTTATAGTTACTAGGGATGGAACCAAGCCCTTGTATATACTAAGTAAATGCTATTTCACTGAGCTATAGCCCCAGCCCCTCTACAAATTCTTAAGTTAGAAAGCTTATAAATAATTTTTATGACTTCTTAAAATGATTTCCATCTCAATAGGTACTATCAGAGTCAACTTACGTCTTTAAGGTTCCTGATGTCATTAGTTCAGTCACTAACACAATACATTTCTTTCCTTTTAATATAGACTCCCAGGAATCATAAAATCGAACTATATTGGGATGCTGGAGGCCTTTCAACATCTCTGCTTCTTCTTTGAACCGTTGCTGCTCAGCTTTAGTTAATTTGCGGTCCTAAAGTGGAAGAACGAGTTCCAAATTAATAACACAGAAATTTCCATGCACATTTTTCTTTTCTATTTTCTTTCTTTCTTTTTTTTTTTTTTTTTTTTTGGTTTTTCGAGACAGGGTTTCTCTGTAGCCAGCCTAGTCTACAGAGCAAGTTCCAGGACAGCAGGGCTATTAAACAGAGAAACCCTGTCTCAAAAAAACAAACAAAGCAACAACAACAACAAAAAAAAAGTTCAAGCTCTTACTGGAGCCAAAAACCTGTGACTAAACATCTCACAGATTCTAGAAGAGAACATGCAAAATGAACGTAATATGAAACCAGCTTCTAGTGACTGTTATACCCATAGATTAGTATATCTCTCAACCGTCATCAAAGAATTTCTTTTAGCAGTAGATGGTGATTAACACAGATACCTACAACTGACCAACATGCAGACAAGAGATTACAAAGTGTTAAATCCCAAATGGGACATCTATATCACACCCTGCTCCTCTTAAAGATCAGGGATCAAAACCAGGTGCCTTTAATCCCAGCACTCGGGAGGTAGAGACAGGTGGATCTCTGTGAGTTTGAGGCCAGCCTGGACTACAGAGCGAGTTCCAGGACAGGCTCCAAAGCTACAGAGAAACCCTGTCTCAAAATCCAAAAAAAAAGGAAGAAAAAATCAAAAGAAAGAAAGAAAGAAAGAAAGAAAGAAAGAAAGAAAGAAAGAAAGAAAGAAAGAAAGAAAGAAAGAAAGAAAGCTAGCTCACTCAGGGGTCATTGCAGAAGATGGCAGAAAGATTGTAAGATGTTGAGGGTGACTACTACAAAAGAGTGTTTCTAGGATAACAGGGAAGCTGCATATATGAACTCACAGCAGCTGTGACAGCATGCACAACTGTATAAACTCAAGTCAGACACAGTCGGTATTCTTAGCTATCATAGTAGGTACATTGAAGACATCAGATTATGGCTTTAATTTTAATTAATAATCAACAACCCAATTAAAATAAAGATTTGAAGAGAGATTCAGGGGATATAACTCAGATATTATAGAAAAAATGAAATGGGGCCCTTGGTGTGATTCCCAGCATTGACAAAAAGAACTGAACATGTTTCACCAAGTAACATATATATAGTTCAACTTGGTTGGTTGGTTTTGTTTGTTTTGGTGTTCTCATTACATGGGGCAGGCTGGACAGAAACCTGCCTGTCTCAGCCTCTGAGTACTAGGATTAAAGGGATTCACTATAGTATCTGGAAACATCCTATGACATCACCCTTAGGCTTATCACTGTTGAAAGGAAGTGTATTGTTTGTTTGCTTGTTTGTAATAAGACAAGGTCTCATGTAGCCAGGATGACACTGAACAACTGAGCAGAGGCAAATGGATCTATGAGTTTGAGGCCAGTCTGGTCTACGTATGAGTTCCAGGCCAGCAAGGGCTACTAGAAAGTAGAACTGGTTATCAAAAGTTAGGGAGGGTGAGAAATTGAGAATAATCATTTAATATGTACAAAGTTTATATCTGAGATGATGAAAACTTTCTAGAGATGGATAGTGTAAGTAATTATAAATCAGTTTGACTATACTTGATGTCACTAAATTCAACAATTAAAATTGAATTTTATGCATATTATGCTACAATAAAAAATCTTCAGGGCTGGTGAGACAGCTCGGTGTGTAAAAGAGCTTGTTGTGCAAGCCTGATGACCTTTTGATCTCTAGAACACATGGCAGGACAATCAGTTCCCAAAAGTTGTCCTCTGACCTCCATATGCATGCTATGGTGTATGTTAATTCCTCTCTTCCTCTCCCTCATACACACACAAATAATGATAAAAAAAATTGAAATAATTTTTAAAAAGTGTTCAAAAAACCCTTTGTATGGTGGTGCAAACCTATTATGGAAGCGGGGATGATGGAGGAAGGTCATTGGTTAATTAAATAAAGAAACTGCTTGCCCTGATAGGTTAGAACATAGGTGGGTGGAGTAAACAGAACAGAATGCTGGGAGGAAGAGGAAGTGAGCTCAGAGACGCCATGTTCCCCTCTCCCGGGCAGACGCCATAGCTCTGCTCTCTGAGGCAGATGCATGAAGCTCAGACCCAGGAGGACGTAGGCTAGAATCTTTCCCGGTAAGACTGGTGCTACACAGTTTATTAGAGATGGGTTGATCGGGATATCAGAATTTGCCAGTTAGGGCTAGAGCTAATGGGCCAAGCAGTGTTTAACAGAATACAGTGTCCGTGTAATTATTTCGGGGCATAAGCTAGCCAGGCGGCCAAGGTGCTGGGGACGCAGCCCCGCCGCTCCTATTACTACACGGGGAGGCTGGACAGGTTAATCAGGAGTTCAAGGCCAACCTGGGCTACATAAAACCCAATCTCAAAAAAAAAAAATCAAAAACCGTTAAGGGACTTAACAAAAGCAAGGAATACTAAGGATAGAAAATAACAAAAACAAGTAAAATACTAGGTTTTCCTATCTTTCCTAATATGATTAATATGTCCTAAATGGTTCTGCAATTAGCTAGCATTCATACCTGGAAGATCAGATCACACTAAAGAACAATTAATATATTTTAAGCCTTCTGATTAACATTGTAGAACATAAGTATTTCTTGTGACAAACTCAATTACTCTACTTAATAATTCACCTCTAAATATCAAAGGTAATTACAACTAGGGGTAAACAACTTTATAAAACTTTATAGCTGCTGCCTCAGACATACTGCTAGAGAAAAAGTCCACTAAAAAGGCAGGGTCAGTACCTTTAAATTTCTACTTCTGATTCAGGGGACAGAAAATGTGGTAAACTAGCACCAAACTCAAAGGGAAGTACTTTAGTAGAGATTTCAGCTACTACTGTAATCCTCCTTTGATCATACAGAGACACACAGACACTAGGTAATGATTTTGATAGAATAAACCACCTGTCATTAATAACGAGAGTTTTTGGTGCAAGAAAGGCAAACTAGAGAGTAGTAATAGCTAACAGAGCACAGAGCCATTAAAATGCTAATCTAAAGGCTCGTTATGGTGCTACATGCCAGTAATCCCAGTGCTGAGAAGGCTTAGGCAAAAGAACACTAAATTCTGAGGTCAGCCGAAGGTAATGGGGAGATTCTATCTTAAAAAATAATCTAGTCTATGGAAATGAGCCATAAATATTGCTGTTCCAAAGTTAGATCATAAAAAAACAATAAGCATAAAGTTTTAGTGTCATACTTGCTAATTTATATGGATAGTAAATAGATGAAAATTCAAATCAAACAAAATTCAACTACTCCACAGTACATTAAAAAGAATATTATCTTTTTTATAAATGTTAGCTAAATATTTAATCAATTTTAATATGTAGAATAGTAAAAATATACATAAAACCTTTTCTGAGATCTAGACTAACAGCAACATGATTAATCACCATAAGTATTTTATTCAACATAAGGAACATATATTTAAGAGGGAGTGACTGAACTAAGACTGCTTCCAGGGCACCCTGCTCTAGCAGAGCTACCTAGGGAAGTGCTTTCCCAGGTGCAGCCTGAAGGCACACAGAGTTTACTGAAGCTGTTGTCCCAGTAGGATCTTGGCATTATCTACATGGTGTATCTACTTGGCTTTGTAGGCATACAAAAATTGAAATGTTGGGGAGGCCTTGGCTCCAAAAGCTGCTGATGCCAGGAAACTCATAGCAGTGTCAGGTGTTCTGCTCATGAAGTTGTGAAGGTGAAGCCTATATTTCAATAGGAACTGGAGATGTGAGAGGCAAACAGAGCCCACTAACAGGCTATGAATGCTACAAGCTACTGAGTTAAGTCAGAGTTCCCAAGCCTGTTAGAACCCAGATGAAGCAACCATGAGCCCTGGATATCAGACAGAGAATTACAGGGTTTGGTGTTTGCCTTACTAGGTTTTGGTCTTGCATTGGTCTGATCTTTGTTATATTTCTTTAAGAATCAGAATTCTCTTTAGAAACTGGAATGTTTGACATGTGACACTGTATGGTAGAACTATATAATTTGTATTTTTTTACTTTGCAGATCATAGTTAAGAGACTGATTTGAGTCTCGAAAGAGACTATATCATTTGGGTTTGTTTGTTTGTTTTGTTGTTTTTTTTTTGTTTGTTTTGTTGGGGGCTTTTCAAGACACAGTTTCTCTGTACCTTTGGAGCCTGTCCTAGAACTCTCTTTGTAGACCAGGCTAGGCTCGAACTCAGAGATCCACCTGCCTCTGCCTCCCAAGTGCTAGGATAAAGTTATATGCCACCATTGCCTGGCTACTTTTGGGGCTTTTTTTTTTTGACAATGTTAGAACTGTCAAGATTTTGGTGACTGTTAGCAAGGGACTAAACATATTTTACATTATTAAATATGACATGTTTGAAGTATTGTGGTTTAAAAGTGATGTGTTTGGGTATCAAATTGACAAGAGAGGAATTACAATAGTCAATTTTGATTTTACGGTTGATCAGATTAAACACACACTGATATCAATAAACACACCTCTGTATATGCCTGTAAAGGGTGATTATAAAGAAAATGAGCTGAGCAAGTTAAGACCTAACCTGGATGTGGATACATTATCCAATTGGCTAGAGTGCAGACCAGATAAAAAGAGAAAAAAAGAGAAAGCCACCTGAGGATCACTCATTCCTCTGTTCTCTGCTTCCCAAGCTGCCTTCCAGCATCAATCAGGAACTGGACCCACAGCCATGCCTTCCTCATCCCAGTGAACTATATATGCCATGAGTCACATCCAAAATTAGGAACATTTTTTTCTGAAAGGTAAACTATGATCTTATAATCTCACTATAATCTCACTCTCTTAATGTAAATATCAACAATGATCTTCAAAACCAGATCAGGCTACATGGATCTATTCCTTCAAATGTGAAAGAAATAACAATGATATTAAAGTTATATAAAATAACTTGTTCAGGTAACAATATATAGTACAGGCTGGGCGATGGTGGCGCACGCCTTTAATCCCAGCACTCGGGAGGCAGAGGCAGGC